AAAATGTGCAACATTTGCGTCTTCTCCGCGTTGTATCGGTTCCAGCAAATAAGAAAATCTGCATCCTCTCGACAGCCCTCCACTCAACAAGCTTTCCACATGGCATCATTCCCGAACATAATTTTAAACATGGGAATCCTCCCCCCCCCCCCCAAAAAAAACTGAAGCACCGTTTCCGTCGGTTCCAATGCGCCGTTCGCCCAGGGAGACGGAAATGTTATATTCTCGGCGGTCCAGTCTGCACTCTGCAGCACACTCAAGGCTTGGCGGACCCCTAGCTCATGACTGCCTGCGCGATTCGTATTGTGACGATACCAAATGAATTCACTGGTGTTTCGGAATAATTGAAGGCGGCGCAGTTCAGCGTCTTAAAATAAATCACCGGTCGGTGAATGCACTATGCAGAAGAAATTGATTGAGTAGGTGTCCAACCACGCTGAATTATCAAATTAATATTTTGCATTACAATTCCATTATTGCATTTAAGGAAACAAACGATTTGCGACTCTTACGGCTTACATAACTCGGCAAAATACCCCTAGTTCGCCTGAACTACACTGCATCTCTTCAGAGCCTAAGCATTTTACAATTTACCACTCAGCTATGCACAAGCACAGGCTTATAATTCACTGCTCAACTCCTTTTTCCCTATCATCTTTTTGGCACCGTCAATCGCCATCTGCGCCAAGGCCCTATATACCAGGTAGGGTCGTCCGGCGATTCTACCTTATCGTGACGTCAGCTCGTGACGTCATTTGGAGTCAAGTCTCGAAGCCCCGTTCAATCCCCATGTAAATGAGCGATTTTCGAAGCACTGTAGAATGAAGTCTGCACAAGATATATCAAACCTAAGTATCTTATCTGAAAGAGTAGACAATTTTCTGCAAGTTATCTATTACGTGTTTTTCGCTAAATCTTTTGCTTTTTTCACAAAAGCGTAAAATGTCCCCCCATGTCTCCGCAGCCTCCCTGCCGCCGGCCGCCGCGCGGTCGCGGTAGTGTAGTGGTTAGCGTGCCCGCGCAGTATTCCAAAGGTCCCGAGTTCGAATCTATGCGGTGCGGAACTTTAATTGCAATTCCAAGCTGAATATGCGCACATCCATAATAAATTATTATTCGTATAGCTAAACTGTCACCAAGCTATCCATATAAATTGACTTCACCCAAAATATCGGCAAGATTCTATTAAAATATAAATTCAAATATGGCGGCTTGGACTGCCGCGTGCGTTAGGCTCCGCCCATAGCTCCGCCCACATGCGTGACGTCATTCGTGTTAGTGGACACGCAGAGAGATAGGGGACGACATGGGCCTGATCTGCGCTATTCCCCTGTCCAGCAAATAATCCGGCCGTCTCCAATTCTCTGGCAGGGGCTTCCAAACTCAAGCGAACTCGCCGAAGTTTCGCGATTCAATGCGCAGGATATGCACAATGGAATTTGAGAACCTCTGGATTGGCTCGGCGCGCCTGCGCTGCGCCGTTGGTCCGTCCAAGTACGTGAGTGACGTCATGCTATAAGCGTCATCCCTCGACCAAAGTCACCAATCAGAGCCCTATAATTGACGTACAGTTCCACACTTAGGTAGCTCGCGACGCGGCCGCTCATCACGGGCGGGCCGTGACGCAACGCGGCGCACACGGCCGGCCACCGGCGCCGTGACTGCACTTTGCGCCACCGGACAGCGGCTCGATGGGGGCTGGCTGGATTCCCCCGGCCCGCCGGCCGCTGCACGCTGAGGGCGGACGGCGGGCGGCGGCTCGCGGCACGAGTTCGGCCCATCGCGGGCGGCGGAGAAGCGCCGTGCTGCGGTTACGACACGATACAATCGAGCCAGCAGCAGGCACTGTCTGGGTGAATACGTGCCGCGCCGCGCCGCCCGCCGAGTCGCCGTGTTGCGCCGCACAATGCTCACGCCGACCGACAACAGACGCCACGTGACGATTAACGTCAAATGGGTCGTCATCGCTGGTCGCTACTGCGTGGCGTTAGTCTGGGCTCGTCACTGCCAATGACGACAAAGGAAACCGGCGACGTCTCATTTTGACACGGACCTTGTTCACATTCCTCAAAGCGCAGTATTTTAGCAATTTGATAGACGTCTAGTCTCTGTTTCTAGAGTCTCTAGATATGTCTCTAGCGTCTGATCCCCTGACCTCACGAGACGCGGTACGCGCTGGTTTGCTCAATCATCCATGGGTGGAGCGAGCCCCCCACTTGACACGGCACCATTCAGCTGGATGATCAGGCGACACTTGAAGCCGCTCTCCGTTCGGCGGCCGAGCTGACCAGCCACTCGGCACACCACACACTGACACCTTCAGCCCAGGTCAGGGCCGAGCTGGCCGGTGTGTCCCGCTCGGCTGAGAGTGAGGACTTAGTTAGCTCCCCTCCTCTTCGTCGACAGTAGGTCTCCTCGCTTATATATTTGATAGCTTTGTCTTCTCACTCTTCTGTCCACAACACTCATTCTTTACACAAGTATCCCTCTCCTACCCTCTCTCCCTTCTCTCTCTCTCTGTCTCTCTCTCTCTCTCTCTGTCTCTCTCTCTCTCTCTCTCTCTCTCTCTCTCTCTCTCTCTCTCTCTCTCTCTCTCTCTCTCTCTCTCTCTCTCTCTCTCTCTCTCTCTCGCTCTCTCTCTCTCTCTCTCTCTCTCTCTCTCTCTCTCTCTCTCTCTCTCTCTCCCTTTTTCTCTCTCTTAACCTAAAGAAGGACTGACTCGTATTCCGGCTGCTAAGCTCCGCCATGCACTGTACCGAAAGGCGAAGCAACCCACCGTGGACTCAGTCAAGCGTCACTGCTACAATCCGACAATCAGAAAACGAAGGGAACCGGACGTATCTTGATTGTTGATCGGCATCTCTTCCGGGAACGGGATGCCGCCACTGGCCCGCTGACAACTGCGCTATAATGTTTCCATACCGCCGAGCCCATGACTAGAACACATGAGCATGCGCAGCCTCGTGACTAATGTTAACGCTTGGCCGATGACAAGTGGCGGCATGTCAGCGACTATCTTCACTCTCGCGCGCTTTCGCGACGGGCCATTTCGTTGTGTATCCACGGCCGCGCCAGTGTGTCTGCAATCGCAAGCAATGGCTGCATGCTTATTAAGCAGCTGGTCGGTGACGTGAGCAGCGACCGCACGTGGATGGAATTGGGTGCCATCGTGATTCGTGAAAAAAGCGGGCGAGGGTTGTCATATCCGGGCGCCGTCCTTCTGCCCCCCCCCCCCCCCCATCACATGACGAGTGGCAGGCGGCGCCCGAAAGATGATCGAACATTTTATATGGTACATAGATAGTAGCCGTTTTCACGGCGGCCATCTGGTACACATTTGGTGCACATCTGGTACAGATTAGGTAAAGATTTGGTCAAATCAGGTGCATTCACCGGATAGCCCATCGTGAAAACGGCTATTTGCAGTTATCATAGGTTAAATAGTCACAGGCAGGTCATCAAGTCAGCCAAAGTAACGTTCCCGATCTTAACTTTTATAAATCGCCTTCTGCTCATGACATAGAGAACATAGAAAGAGATACAACATCGCTCGCACCTTTTCACGATAGTTGGTCTGAGCTGAGTTGACCCGGGGTTGTGAAATATGCTTCCTCTTGTCTCCAGAGAGCCAACGTTATACAGTGTCGCAAATGCAATAAACAGAGATCACCACTGCCAGTTACGAACCTGCAATAATTATTTATGTAGTTATTCAGCAACTAAATTCGCATGACGTATAGTCCGCCATTGTGTTTCTACCTATCTTCCAATCAGGAATCTGACTTCAATCGTTTATTTGGATAGGTGATATAAATTGGTACGACCTGACGGGACGGCGGACGCCAGTGAAGCCTTTAAAACACATGCGAAATGATTTGATCCTATAAGGTTGAGGTGAGCTAAAATTGGTATCCTTTTCAGATACCTATTAGGGGGGGGGATTGCGTGGACGTTTCATGCTCCATTGTCACCACGGCGGGTGATATGGAAGGAGACCCAGATATCATCAGCTTTTGGAAAAATCTCCACATAGTCTTGTATCGTCTCATTACCCAATTCTTTCCCGTTATTTGTTCAGATGGATAAGGAAGGGGGAACCGAGTTGCGATTTGCGAAGGGGGAAAAGGGAAAATAAAACCTTACATGCTTCCTTATTGGGGAGTGAGTTGAACTCCAAATGCTGATGTAGTGTATGGCATGGTCGACATGGTTTATGAATATACGAGCAATGAAGGTTTATCGCCGTACTATCGCCGCTTGCCGGGCCTCTGAGCCGGGGTGAAGGGGAGTGTTTCAACAGTGGTATGCCGCCGTTCGCGAGTGGAAAATCCAGAGGCTTCATTGGACGCATGCTAATCTACCATTTGAGCCTATCACAACTGCTCTGCCTCATGGCTCTCATACTCTCCCTTTTCTCAAGGTCACTGTCATTCACTGTCGTGGCCAACCACCCGAAAATACCGTTCTCGATTTACTCAGATCGCGGTGTCATCCCCGCCCGTTTGTCACACGGCCTAGTATGCGCGAGATCTCGCAACATGGAGCGGCGCCGCGCTGGCTCGCTCGGGCCGCCCGGCCACCCGTCAGCCGGGTGCGTAATGTTTGCACATGGACCACGGCGCCCCTGGACGGTCACGATGGAAACGTTGGGCAACCCTATTGACTTTCCACGATGGCACTCTATTATGAAAAGTATTGAATGTTGAAAACATCAGGCTGCCGAGCGGTTGATGAGTTAACTCCATGGGGAGCGAGTTAACTCCCCGTCCAGCCCTTGCGCATGTTTAGATGGTCACGCGGACATTGTGGATGATATTTATGTGCCCTGTCGTCATAACTATCCGTCATTTAAAACAGCGTGATCCGAACCAGATCTCCAAGTCCAGATAATGATGTACGACTTAGGATTCGGTATTTCCACCCAACAGAAACATTCCTTGAAGCAAGTTTGCTTACACTGAACGATGCCACCATCTTCGGCCGTATAAACTATCGGTTCATTTGCAAAACTATCGCACCAACTTCCCCAGCAGTTGACTTATAATAACCGAGCAGCGTGCACCAGCACAGACAGTCGACAGCGGTGTCGCGAGGGTTCGAGAGGATTCTCTCAGCTGTCTCACTGTCCAATTTCCGATCACATCACGCCATTGTCGCCCCGCTTTTCCAAGTTCGCACCATTCACGATGAGGTTCTCCAGTGGGACCCTCGTGGTCGCGTGTGTGGCCGCAGCGGTACTCTGCCCGTCTGCCGCCTCACCGGCTATCGGGCTGGGGAGTGACCCCGGAGTCACACTGCAGGTGACCGGTCTGCGTGAGATTATTGCAGAGGTCGTCGCAGCAGCTCTAGACCAACACGACTCCACTCACGAACCTCAGGTGAGACCTAACTTTCTTTGTTTGAATTTTGGCCAAACATCATGAGTTATGCTGCTCTTTGGCGTACCTTCTTTGCTGCACCGACTTCCGACCAGATTGACATGCCTAAAGCGTAATGATTAATTCTACAAAAAAAAAATGATAAATAACGGAACAAAATGCACTTAAATGTTGACGACTAGTTCTCAATAAAAAGACCAGTGGGTTGCGAATAGATAATATAGATCGGGTTATGGCAATTTGCAACGGCACCGGCGACGCATGCTGCGGTCGGGTTAAAAAGGATAGCTTTGGAAGCAAGTTCTTTGTATTTAGGTAAGGTCCTCGTGAACTTACCAGTCCATGTGTCCGTCTTGTTAAACAGGGCTGCCGGAACAGCTGCCCTGGCAACTTCATACCGTGCGCCGGACAGTGCTACAGTCGGCTGTCCACACAGGTGGACCACGCCCAGGCAGAGCGGGACTGCACTGCGCTGCACGCGCACCTGGCCGTGCCCCGCTCCCGAACAGAGAACCTGTGCGTCGCCGGCCTGGCAGGCCACGAGAACATCTGGCTGGGCATCACCGACAGCGCCGAGGAGGGCGTCTTCCGCGGACCGGGCGGCAGGGCCGTCACGATAAGTGACGGATACGTGTGGGCCTCTGGGCAGCCGGACAACTGGCGTGACCAAGAGGACTGTGTGGAAATTCGGAAAGTGTCGGAAGGCTACCGATTTGCTGAATGGAATGACGACAACTGTGTGGCGACCAAAAAGTTACCAATGTGCCAGCTACTATAGATTATAGAAGCGATTCTCAAGGCCGCCCCACACTGGACCTCGCATGCGGGTTGCGAATCTGCGGGTTTTGGGTTTGCGGGTATCATACTCATTCATGGAGTGAGAACAAACATTCTATTATACTCATTTCGTGAATGCTGTCAAACTGATACAGCTTCAGAGAATTACGCATGGAATTACGAATTATCGACCTGGCCTAAATGCATCAAGACATCGTCTGTGATAAAAAACTAACATGAAATTGGTGATCAGCACCCCGAAAGAACATAACAGCTTTACTTTACGAAATTCTAGCAGGTCCCGACTTTCCCAACTTTTTGGGTCATTGACCTGACCTGGAAGGTCAACCAATGACTAAGGACCTTAAAATTTGATATACCTACACTGTAAACCAAATTGACAAGTCTTGTGTAATGTAGACATGGCCGTGAGTCGTTAAATATCAGGCATGATATATACCTAAATATATTGTTAACACTGAGTGACCAGTTCCAAAGTCAAAGTCCAGTTCAAGTTCAAGTCCCCCGCTCCAGACCGAATCCCCCCGTCAATCAATGACCTTCAGACGACCTTTCGTCCGAGAAGGTTCCAGGAGAAAACCCAATCGGCGGCTGCCCTGGCGTCGCAGCGCCAGCCAATCAGCAGCCGCCATCACTGCCACAGCCGTCGCCGCAGAGCACGGCAAATAGCCCACGGCGCGTGAGCTGTAGCCGCGGGCGCTCGCAGCGGCAGAGTTCCACTTCCGACTCTGACTCAGTCGGTCTCGGAGCGGCAGCCCATTCATTGGCGGCAGTTCATTCATTGCCAACATATAGCCGCCCGAGCAATAGGCGGCGGCACGGGAGGAGCCGCCCTCCTACACTCCTCCCCGCTTACAAAGAGGCGCCAGCCGTCTGAGCCGCACCGGCTCCAGCGCACGTCCCCTGGGAACCAGAATAAAACAAACGCGTCACTAAGAGTGACGCCACAACGCGATATGTACAAACGACAGAAAAAGCCAGCTCGGATCATCGGGGCACGAGACAGGACACACATCAGCCGGTAAGGATAAGACGAGACCCACTGCCGTACGTTCCGCCACTTACGCCACGCGCTAGTCGCTCGACGCGTTCAGATCGCGTCCATCTAGGCTCTGCTGGCCAGTCAAAGCACAAGATGAAGCGCGCTAAAGGCAGCTGCGGCTGGACAGTGTTGCGATCAGGTGTCTTACATTACGGCTACATATCGGTCAGGGGGCCGACGCTCACGCGTAGAGCGTCTCAGAGCCACCGGGGGTACCGCAGTGCGAGGCAGCGGTATCGGCCGGAAGGTCACACGGAGACCAACCGACTGCTCTGCACCCTGTGAAACGGCAGCCTCAGCTGGAGGCTCAGCTGTGGAACGCGTCGGCACTTCAGTTGCGCTCCCTGGAACAGCACAGAGACTCGTCCCCGCGACAGGTGGTGACCCAGCGGTCTCAGCCCGTGTCGCACTCGCCGACTGACCGGCCTGCTCAGCAGAGTCTGAGCGGCCACTTACCCGGTCTGCCGCGCCACTGGCGGCTGGATCTGACTCCGTCGTGTTACCAGAGGGCACGGTACATGGCTTTAACCTATTGTGGTGCACACACAACATTTTCCCGTCCTCCAGTCTCACACGATAGTTAAGATCCCCTCGCTTGGCGACTATTACCACGGGTTAGCGCGCCGGTCCCCGCTCCCGAGCGGCGGGCTGAGCCGCTCGCGCGACCTGAAGCTCCAGCTGCTCCAGCCGCTGAAGTACTTTTTCCAGCATCCCATTCCCACTAGCTTGGCTAACCTGGCGCACCGGGGCCCGATCCTGAACTGAGACGCGCTCACTACGAATGATATTGCTCACTTTTTCTACGGCTTTTGGGAAGGTTTCGATACCGGTCGAAATTATCTGCTGCTTATACTCTCTCGGCAGAGCCGTGAGGAAAGAGTGGAAGAGCACCTGATCGCACACACTCCCCGGGAACGCTTCAGCCACTAGAGCACGCAGTCGGATGACAAACGCGTCAAGAGAGGTCGACGGGTCAAACTTTAACTACTGAAGCTGGCTATGAGCATCCAGCGCGCACGGTTTGATGAACAAGTGGCGGAGAGCACTAGCAGCCCGGCTGAACGTGTCCCTCTCCTCCCGTGGGAGGGCCTCAAAAGCATCCCGTGCGAACCCGGTCAAGCACAGCGGCAGGAAGCGCAGCTTGAACTCATCATCCAAGTTGTGAAAAGTGTAGAAAGTGTCCAGATCCGCCAAAAATCTGTCACAGGCTGAGCCACTCTCCCCGGCGAACTTCGGCGCCTGAAACGAAAACCCACTGATCGCCCCGCGGCGCACGTCCCCAGATCCACTCTGCTCCCCGAGATTCATTTTACCAATTTAGCCAGTACCTATCATTCTACACACCCACAAAAACATACACTGCACGATACACCCATCACACAAGCAATCGATACACTTATCTTATTGTCGTCGACGTCGTTTGTCGATGGAGATCCTCGCCGTCGGCCCATCCATCGGCCCGCCAGGCCGTCAGGAGCCGCAGGAGCCGGCGGCCGCGGCGGTCAGCTGACGCACAGCCGGCCGAGCGACGAGCAGCGTCACGTGACTGCTGACGTCACAGCAGCTCTCGGCCGAGGAGCGGCGGCTGCAACTTGAAGACGACGAAGAAGACGGCTGCGACAGCGGTCGCCACGAGCGACGGCGACGGCGGACGCACTCGGAAGCGATCATCGCAATCACAAAGTTCGCCACGATTGACGGCGGCGACAACCGACTTGAAACGGTGACTTCAGTCGCCACGGGCCGCCACGACTGACAGCGGCGACGACCGAAGAACTTGAAATCTTGAAAGAAATCTTGCGACAGCAGGTGGGCGGCAACAGATCAAGCCAGCCACTGCCCGCTAACACCGAACACTAAAGAGGACCAGCTGGCCACTCACTCAACAGTTCAACCAACAGTTCAACTCGTCGAGCCAGCGCATGGCTAACGGAACGGCCGCTCACCTCTCGTCGAGCCAGCGGAGCTCACCGACAAGCCGCTCCAACAAACAGCGGCAGAGGCTTCACACTGAGACACGAGACTGCACTGCTTCACCATAGTTCTGAGCGGCACAAGTCACTGACAGTCTCGACTCAGGCACAAAATCATGGCCCAGGCGGGACCAGACACGAAAACTCACAGTTCCGAGTTCACCGGATGCACTCGCGAGGTAGGCGAGGCCGGGGCCGAGCGCCGAGAAGGAAGCCAGTCTGAGTCGAAAACACCTTCATTTTAATCTTCGTTCTTGGTAGCCGGTAGGCAGGTCATCGTTACGGTTTCTTACGAAAGAGCGAAGCTCGTAAAGCCGCTGCCACCAAATGTAGACATGGCCGTGAGTCGTTAAATATCAGGCATGATATATAAATATATTGTTAACACTGAGTGACCAGTTCCAAAGTCAAAGTCCAGTTCAAGTTCAAGTCCCCCGCTCCAGACCGAATCCCCCCGTCAATCAATGACCTTCAGACGACCTTTCGTCCGAGAAGGTTCCAGGAGAAAACCCAATCGGCGGCTGCCGGCTGCCCTGGCGTCGCAGCGCCAGCCAATCAGCAGCCGCCATCACTGCCACAGCCGTCGCCGCAGAGCACGGCAAATAGCCCACGGCGCGTGAGCTGTAGCCGCGGGCGCTCGCAGCGGCAGAGTTCCACTTCCGACTCTGACTCAGTCGGTCTCGGAGCGGCAGCCCATTCATTGGCGGCAGTTCATTCATTGCCAACATATAGCCGCCCGAGCAATAGGCGGCGGCACGGGAGGAGCCGCCCTCCTACAGTAATATAACCAGGGATGCGGAGCCGTGGAAATTTCAGACGGCTCCGGCTCCGGCTCCGGCTCCGGAGAAAAAATCGGCTCCGGCTCCGGCTCTGGCTCCGGGTGAAATGTTATGGCGGCTCCGGCTCCGGCTCCGGCTCCGAGTAAAATGGTCCGGCTCCGGTGGCTCCGGCTCCGGCGGCTCCGGCTCCGACTCAGTACATCTCCTATGCAATCAATTAAATACGGGTGGAAGAAAAATTGGATTGGTACACGTAGCTTCTGTATTTGCATAACAACTAACATCTAAGGCTATTTTTCTCAACAGCACATGCAATCAGCGAACAGGGTATATAAGCACGTGGCGAAATGTTATGACTATACGGCCGCGTTACTCTTTGCCATGACCGGCTCACCGCGTCCCCGCGCAAACGCACCTCGGAGAGAACTGGCAGAACAAAAGACTAGAAAGCATTGGAAAGGACATTAGAAACGCAGTCGCCGCGAATCGGAGTTCACTGAACCATCATAAGCTGACACCCGTCTCGGCTGCATTGGGGGGTGGGGGTGGGGGGGGGGGGGGGGGGTAGGGTGGGGTGGGAAGAGACGGTGTTGGGAGTCGCAGTCCACTGCACTGGCTTCAAAACAATGGCCGTCACCTGATGACCGGTCCTCATGTTCTGGGGATGCAGTAGACGTGGGGGGGGGGGGGGGGAGGAGCAGACAGGAAGTTGATTGCGTACTGTGGGATGCTGGGGATATTCGGCTTTTTTCATTCACTTGATGGCCCATGACGTACTTACCATATGTTTTACTGCCTTATACTGTCAAACCGAACTACATAGGTCAATTATTTTTTTCCTCTTCAAAAAAAAAAATAAATAAAAAGGAGCCGGAGTCGCCCCCTTTTTTGGCGGCTCCGGCTCCGGCTCCGGCTCCGGGCTATATTGTTTCACGGCTCCGGCTCCGGCTCCGGCTCCGGGCAAAATATGCCGGCTCCGGCGGCTCCGGCTCCGACTCCGGCTCCGGCTCCGCATCCCTGAATATAACCAATCATCTCTTGGTATGTTTACCAACTGATACTTTTCAAACAAGCCGTTGTCTGGTGCATTGCTTGTCAGATGACAACTACGAGTCAATAATTACTATGCACACCAACTTCTCAGTATCCAGACCAACTCTACATTTGTTTCAACGTTTGTTTCTTAACCAGTTTTGGAAACTTGTTGCCGCATGGTTATTTAACCGGCGCCTAACTTGTACTGGTCAGCTGGTCAGCATACACATGGTCAGCTGCGCCCGTGATGTCAGACTTGGCGGACCAATCAGCGGTCGCCGTCCGGCCCCGGCGCGGCGGTTTCAAACCGTTCAAACCAGCAGTTGTCGCGCGGCCGCCGTGCAGCATGGATCAGCGACGAGGGCTGTTCCAGCATTTGTGCAGTAAAAAGTGAAATCTGTGAACTGTGGTGTTCGTGCTGTGAGTGAGGCCCGCTCTGGCCTGCGGGACGCACTAATCGTGCCTATACCCGCGGTCGAGACGCCTCCCTTCCCCTGCGCGCGCAATGTAAGTGGGCCAGACCTTTGCATGCACATGTGAGCAGATGTTTTGCGGTCGGTGTTTTTTATATATAAATACATTTATTTGCCTTTAATTCAACTCTTTGTATTTTTAACTTAACTGATGGACATACCGGGTGGCCCAGAAAAAACGTTCCCAACTTTAAATCAATATTTCTCAAAAAGTGGTAAAGATACAACATTGAAACGTCGAATAGTGAATGCGGCACACATTTTCAGTAAATGGTGTGGTTTTCATGGTGTTCGGTAAATAACTTTTTAAACGGTTCGTGTATCAAGCATGCCATGTAAAAATTACTTTTTTGCTCCGATGTTTACTAAAAATTTGAGTGAACGGGTCACTTTCACCCCGCGGCACTGCGGCCTAGAGGCTAGAGCCATGACTTCTACTGGCAGCTAGTCTCATTGATGGTTCGGGTCTCAGGATGACACATTCCCTCAGGCAACCACGATGGCTCTGTGCCAGCGGCATCGGAAGAAGTTTCCAGTTTTCTAACCATCTTGTGGCTCAAATGCTTTCCTGGCTGACATTCCTGGGAAAAGGTAGCTTTTCACCCAGTTTTTTTTTTTTTTGTCATCTGCTGGCAATGTTGTTTTTCATAAGCTATTCTGTGGTCTTCTGGAGTTCTGGCACAGGAACCAGTCTGCTTTAGTTTGTTTTCCTTATCCGGTCGATTTACTGTTTGATCTACTGAAAGGAGGGTAATCAGCAGTAATCCATGCACCGTGCCACTCCTGCTCGAAACATGATTTGGTGTTGAAACGAATGACATCCATGAGCACCATTTAGCTCAGTACTTGAATATTTGGCACATAAGTGAGACAAAAATATTTAAGATAAAAACACACGTGTTGGTTTCATTCACGTGCTTTATTTTTTATTCTTTTTTATAACATGGGACGTCTAACCCAATCATCACTATCGTTTGACATCGGCAAAAAAAGCAAAAACGTCTTGCTTAATTCAACTCAAGATTGCCAGCTTGAAAATGATGGTATAGTGTTATAATTTGGCATACCAATGCGCAAAGAAATGACGCAAACTTGATGAAAATTTTGGCTCGTTATTTGTACTCGTATTTGATATATATGCCTCCAAAGTTCGGAACGTTTTTTCTGGGCCACCCGGTATATGGGCTGTAAAAGCTAATCTGGTTGGCGATCATGCTTTATTCGAATTATCTGCGTGATCGTGCAACTGCCATGATTGTTATGGTCAATGTGGAAATATTCGTCATACGGGCATGTTATACTTCTGGCTTGATGCGATGCACAAAACCATGTTCTTCCACATACGCAGCAGTTCTTGCTTCAAAGACTTATATGCTGACGGTGCACGATAGGTATACCTTATACCTCATGCATTTACCACATCCATTCGAAAATATGCACTTGGAATTGTCTCCAGTCAATAGTATTAATTACATACTACGTGATGTAGGTACGTGACCGTAATAAATACTAATGATTCCAGAAACTTCCGAATGGATGTGGTGTATGCATTCATCGATTATATAACCCATCAGTATTTCGTTTCTTGTCAGCGCAAGCCTTTGAGCAATAACTGATGCCAGTCATGATTTTGTGCACCACTTCCAGCCAAAAAATGACCTGTCCGTATAGAAAATATTTCCTGAATCAGTATCGTGGCAATTGAAAACGAACGCGAATCGTAAGTTCTTAAGGTTATCAACGCAAACAAAGCGATTGTAAGGAAGAACAAGTTCGAACTGAGCGTTAGTACACTTACTTGTTGACAATTTGTAAACTAGCAATGCCCAGTCAAAGGCTAGTTCATCAACAAACCAGGGGTTGTTGAACCGACAAGGAAACGGCTATGCCTATCCAGAAGTTGGTAGGTTCACAAGGCCCAGACTAGTACTCAACAAGGTGACGCCTATGCGAATTGGAACCAAACTTGTAGACAAACTGTTAGTTTGTTGGCCAACACGCCTGGGGTTGGTGAATCGACAAGGTGACGCCTATGCGAATTGGAACCAAACTTGTAGACAAACTGTTAGTTTGTTGGCCAACAAGCCTGGGGCTGGTGAATCGACAAGGTGACGCCTATGCGAATTGGAACCAAACTTGTAGACAAACTGTTAGTTTGTTAGCCAACAAGCCTGGGGCTGGTGAATCGACAAGGTGACGCCTATGCGAATTGGAACCAAACTTGTAACAAGGAGCCAACTTGTAGATTTGGTTTACAGTGTAATTGCCTTCCTCTCGTCCAGGGCAGCACGCCCGTTGTTTCCGCAAAGCTCTAGCTCGATCAGGGGCCGAACGGCAAAGGGGTCCACCCGATCCCCTCCCCCTAAACGTTATACCATGTTATACTCTGTAAAACGCCGCACAAAAGCGAGGGTTAAGCATGGAATTAACTGCTCCCTTCAGTATTAAAAAAAAATCTAACGAATTGTCAATGCGATGTAAACGAACTGCCTTTCGGCGGTGCCTACGTACCAAAGCAATGTCCCAGTTTGAGGCAAAAAAGACGGTTTAACCCCATGATTGCAAATAATTGAAGTGCTTTAGTACTGTACACTATACACTGTATGTACGTACATGTAAGAACAGAGCTTGCAGTAAGTATCACGAGCCCACTCCTGGCAAGTTTGGGACGCTCCTTACGGAACGGTGAAAGCACACATCATGAGCCACCGTACAGTTCTGACTACGCACATTTGTACCGGACGACGTAACAAATTACGACACCGCCCCCCCCCCCCCCCTGTTGCAGTCGCGCCAAAACGGCGTGACTTTGACGAATGCGGCGGGTGTTGGGCCGCGCCAAATGTCGTCCGAACGAGACCATGTCACGGTCCGATATCACAATGCAGTGACGGTGATTCAGAGTCGCGTTGCAGCATCATGTCGTCACTGTCGTGCAGCTGGGGACAATGAGCGGCGATCACCCGGTGACGATTTGTTCACGCTGGTGCTTCGGCTCTGTGCCGGGTCAAGCGGTCGAACTGGAATCGTGGCGGCGTCTTTCAACGGATTGATGCTGGCGAAGTGTGGCGATTGCGTTCCGTCTTGTGGAAGAAAGTGCAACAGTTAATGGAGATCATTTCCTGTCCCATATTTCATGGGTATTGCGGGTTTTGTTGAAACAACTGATGCGCTGAAGTTCGCACGCACCATGATTAAATCAAAACTGGGTTTTTAATTGATCGAACCTGAATTATCACGTGAGGCCTTGATTTAGGATACTGATAAAGAGCGACAAGACGATGTTGCTTAGGGTGTTAATTTTTATCGTTATATCTAAAACATAAAAATATTCAACGATTTTCCAAACATTGCCAGAGAACTAGGTATACCTACGATGTTGCTAAAAAATATCAACGTAAAAAAATCAAATAACAGGCCGCCAATGTTGTCAACCATCATAACCTCGGTGTATGACATCGCAGAACAACGTCGTTGGATCTTAGGTTACGAACAAAGCAAGTACTAACAAGTATCACTATATGTATTGTCAGCAATCGTGATCAACATATCATCTCGATTCTCGAAAAATGCAAATACTATAATAGCAAGAGAAATTAAAATCCCGGTAAAAGCAGTGAGTTGCTCTTGACGAATTATGAGTCGGAAGACAGCGAAACCTTTCATGGTCGATCATTGTGCAACACTACAGTATATTACGTCGCAGAGAGCCGGAGCGTCGGGCAGCATATGTCGAAAAATATGCTCCAGCGAGTAACGATGAGTATATACATTTTTTTGGAAGTGAAAAAAATGTATATGATAGCTGAGAGGAAGTATGAGCAGAAGGTATAAGGAGAAAAAAGAAAGTCTCAAAATAAAATGCAGACGAAAAACCAATCTTTTACCCGAATCTCGGTAATCAATAAGAGGAAGGATGACAAATCTTCAACGTGCAATTCAACGCATCCTTTAGCGAACACCAGGCAACTAAAGTAACTGAAGGAGGTCCTTAGGATCTGAAGGCAGATGGAACAAACCGGATGCAATACCGGAACAGACTATGATGGAAACGGAGCCTGACAACAAGCCTGTCCCGAGTGACAACATTGTACCTAGTCGGCCAAACCATACTCCCAGATACCTCTTTGGCGCTTCTCGTCACGCAAGCACGTATGACGGACTCTGACCCGTCAGTTCAACCAATGAAAACAACACTACACACAACAACACTTTGCATCACATTTGGATCCCACAGCGCCGGCACCGCCCGCTTCCCACCGTTATTCAATGTGGTCACAAAAGCGCCCAGTTTGCTTCTTTTGCCAGAAGGTGAAACAATCGCCGAAACTCTGACGATTTGTGGTCAGAAATATGTGCTTCCCACGCCTGAAACGCCACCAACCAGGGACGAGCTCTAGTAGAAAATAGTCGTTCCTTCGGCAAGCCTCCGCTAAAGCTCTGACCACATCAACATCCGATCGAGATATCGTCGCTTGGTGTCACGTGCGACTGGCTAGCCGGTCTCTGTGTGTGTGAGCGGGGACGGTAGGGGCTTGGCTAGCCAGTCTCTCTCTGTGTGAGCGGGGACGGTAGGAGAGCCCAGGACGGCCCGGTGGACGGCCCGCCGTTAGCTGGGCGCCGTCTGTGACAGGTGTCGGATGATGTCCACCCAGTCCCAGCCGCGGGCGCGCTCGCCGCCGCCGCCCACCTGCGCGCGGTCCCAGGCGCGTCGCTTCTGCTGCTTGGACAGCTGCTCCTTCTTCTCCTTCTTGACGCCGCCACCCTCCTGGCGATCAGAAAAGTTCACACTCAGAGGAGGCGGCTGTCGTGTATGCAATATGCATTATGTATACTCGTAAGTCGTAACTAAATGCCTTAACCTCCGCAGCCCTCTGAGAACGGATCAACGGGTAACATGGGTACTCTTGGTCTCAAGATAAGGGTTGCAGCGACCAGTAGTTAAAATGCGTCCGGAATACCCCGTGTCAGACCGACGGCTGTCGGTTGTCAGACCAACTCGACTGTCAGACTCGGATCGAGTACACTCCAATCTGTCCGAGTGGGGCAAAAGGTAGGTTATTAATCGCATCCAAACTACTGGCCGCTGGGACCGGCTTATCTTGAGACCAATAGTACAAGTCTATCACGATCTCACGAATCTGCCTGTGAACAGCGCCATCTTGATTATCAACAGCAACTTCTAAAACGGCTCAAATCGGAGTGTCACCAACCGGTGTAGCTGATACAACTAAGTCAATTCTTTATCACGTGTCTAAAACAAAACGAAACGTGTGAAAAACATCTCGCATCGCATGCAAGAATCATGTCCACACTAAGATATTGCCTACTCCCATTACGTGTCAGAGTACTCTGAGGACACGCGGACCTCGCCGCGTGCTGCCCCTCCTCTCCACTGGACGCCCACCTGCGTGATGGTGAGCTGTTCCACCTCCTCGGCGGCCTGGCTGACGGGCGGCGCGGCCGTCTGCTCCGCCATCAGCTCCGTCACGCTCTCCTTCACCCACTCGAACAGGGTGAACGTCATCGACATGCCGAGCATGGTGTCCGCCTGCTGGCGCACCTGGTCCACCACGTGCTCCTTCACCGCCGGCAGGCTGACGGCGCCCCGTACACGGTGGTCACTTGGGGAGCGTGCAGGGAATAACGACAAAAAGAGATGTATTTTGGCTAGGGTGCAGCAGATGCACTCTGCCTCTAATAATATTTAAAACAGGAAAGATGCTTTAAAAATACCATACAGAACTGATGTTGCTACCCAATTGATATACTTTAATAGTCTCCGGCAAACACAAAGTTTTTTATTAAATATTTCAGTTTCAACGAGTCAGAATCAACAGCATAAGAGAAGGACAAACAAATGCCAATGAGTTAGGAGTACTTACATGTGCTTGTTATAGAAAGCATCAAGGTTGATGTTGGGTAGTTCGTCAGGGTAATTTTCAGTCCACTTAACTTCAACCAGAAATGATTTAATGTCACCATCTTCCCCATACTGAAATCAGTTAGAAAGAGTAATGTAATACAATGTTCATATTGGACCACTGCTTGACCTGTTTCATAAAGCAGGTAATAGGAAAAGGGCACATGTTGAAAAAGGACAGACAAGACAAACACAATATGACCGCGGCGACCAAAAAAGCAGCGAGGTCAACACTTTATCTCCACCTGCCATGAATCCAAACTTCAAAAAATGTTTCATTAACATTACAAAACTTGCATTGAAGTTAATATCTTAATAACTTGGCTGAACATTAACAAATAGCTAAAATGGTCCTAGAAATACAATACAACCTGTAACAAAATGATGAAGCATGGTTGGCAAATGCCTGAATAAAAATGAATTGATTACCTTGTACTGGAAGGTCTTCTCATCAACTTCAATGTAAGATGGGTCTCCTTCATAGATGGACCTTAAAACCTCAAGCTCTTCAGCTTGCATTTCAGCGGACATTGTTATAAAAACTCCAACTAGGTAGGTAGTAGAGCCTGCCGAGAAAACAGACGTGTTAGAACAGAATAAAACAAACGTTACAAATGGTTGCACTTCCTACATGACCAGTAGCAGACCTTAATAGTAAGGTTAAAGTAAAGGGGCCTCTGTATGCCAGGAAATTTAACCCAAGTTGAAGTACCTGGCCCAAGGCCTGGCCCTGGTGTGCTCCTATGAAAGACCAAACCTGTACACCACAGCACACTGCACTGTTTGGTTGGACATATTTAACTGGATGAAACCACAGTGACTGTAAGATGAAACATGGTTGGTCATTTACCTGCTATGGTATGGCATTAAACCTCTCCGGGAGTCCGGACCTATTGGTTTTCTAGTGACTAGTACACACGTCCCGGCCGGGGGGAGGGGGTACGATCCCCCCGCCGTTTCGCCCCTAATGAAGCTAGAGCGTCGCGGGAAAAAATGAGCGTGTGCGCCGTTACGAAACTCAGCGATTGGCACAAGATTTTAATGTCTCAGATTAACCAGTGACCAGCTCTGAGGTCAGGTCAAGTGGCCCAATGCATGGGTGTGGTTTTTGGTGAAACACCTCGCAAAAAAAAAAATTGGCATCACCGAGTATGTCTAGCTCATGCGCATCAAATGGTATACTTTTGGTCAGGTGAGGTCAACTTAAGGTGTTGACTTTGGGTAAAGGTCAGGACAGAGCCCCTCAGGTTATGAACTTGGTCGATGCAGGTCATAGGCATCACATATCATTCGAGAGAGAGAGAGAGAGAGAGAGAGAGAGAGAGAGAGAGAGAGAGAGAGAGAGAGAGAGAGAGAGAGAGAGAGAGAGAGAGAGAGAGAGAGAGAGAGAGAGAGAGACAGAGAGACAGAGAGACAGAGAGACAGAGAGACAGAGAGACAGAGGGAGAGAGAGAGAGAGAGAGAGAGAGAGAGAGAGAGAGAGAGAGAGAGAGAGAGAGAGAGAGAGAGAGAGAGAGAGAGAGAGAGAGGGATCAGAGATAGAAGGAGGGAGGGAGAGAGGGAGAGAGAGGGGATGGGAGAGAGAGAGAGAGAGACAGAGACAGAAAACTTCATTTACAGACCTGTGGTCCATTAATGGCAACCAAGGGAACTTCATTGCACAGGAACTTATAGTTATAAGTACATAGGTACAACAATGATAATCACTAGGCATACAGAGCTCTTGACCACATCTTTTTTATAGATAATGTACCTACACTAGAGGAAAAATCTGAAAAATCTGAGACACAGAAGAAGTAGTGAGACCTCTGGAGGACACTAGGTCAGGAAGTTACATCTCCCTGTGAAAGCACCTTTGGCACTGGGGGCATTGGTGATTGGCATTGCAAATTTGTCAATTTAGGACCATGACTGTAGAAGTTTCCTATGACATCATAGGTCAGTGGCCAGCCACCAGACAAGTTTCAGCTCTATCGCCAGCGTGTGCCAAGCTATCACGAACAGACCTCATGGGGGGCAACCCGCAGCATCTGCCCCCCTTTACTTGGCCAGCAAGGGCGAGGGGTTTTTAAATATTGATCACTTCCTAACACAATGATACTGATACACAGAAGACACAAATGGGTCAATGAGGGGAGAATTAGCCTCTTACTGTAAATTTGTCATCTTTGATGCTCGCTAATCATCATGCATATTTTTTGTTCGGATGGTGCAAGCTGATGCAACTTTGATGTCAAAGAAAATAAGCTGGGTTCGTCTCTCAATATTAATGAGCTATCGTTTAAGTTTAAAATACATCTATTCTTGGTTCATTCTTAAAATGGTTTAATTCTTATTTCTTGTTTCAAGTTCAAGTTGACAATTTTTAAAGCATTGAGCTAGGCTTTCATTAGATGGAATACTGATCATCAAGAGAACATCAAGTATACGTAATTTTACAACTAAAACTACATTCAAGCGTGGCGAATTGAAGCAAATGGCTAAAAAATGCATTCCTATTTCCTACACTTCGTCCAATAGGTATTTCGCCGAATGAAAGACACCCATGCAACAGCCCCATATGCCGCAAGTATGATATGCGAGTATTTAATTGGCCCTGTTGTCAGGAAAGTACTTGTTGTCGTTTCGCAAAACTAGTGAGCTGATTCGTCCGTTTGAGCATTCTTTGTTGACGGCTGTTCGCGACGTAAAAAGTGAACAAATACTTAATTTGGCGGCAAGACTGGCGCACCCACGTAAACAACACCGGCGACGAGCTCGACGTGTGTGTGTCCGGACACGCCTAAGAGCTGGACTTTTTGATGACGTCTTCGGGTGACGTCATGTCGTGTGTGACGTTTCGTGAGCAGGTAAGGAAAAGTCACCACCGCTGGCGAACATTGGTGCGGTAAATGGCAAACACAAATACTGCGCAGAAAAGACAAATGTGTAACTTTAGACCACGTTAGACAACATTCGTTCGGACGACAATAGTCAAGGCGAATCAAGAAGTTCTTCATGCGATTGTTAGTTAGGTATCTGTCGTGCTATTTTAGTATGATTGTTATTAGCAGTTGATTTGTGAAATGTATTATGAAAATCAATGTTTATTGGACGCAGATTCAGTTTATTTTCAGATGTACCTAGGTACTCTTACACTTCACTCATCTCAAGTTGTTCAAACACCCTTGACAAAGTCGATTAAGATGAAACGTTGGGTATAATTTATACTGTGTTTTCTCTGCATTATTAACATATTCATCATATATACAATATAAGGACCACATGTTTTTTACAGGGAGACATGTCAGACAGCCCAGTAGGATGAGGCTTCGCCAAGCGTCATTTTTAGCAAAGCTTTTCTTGCCTCAAAGTTATAATGACAACACTCACTGGGAAAATGGTGATATGATATTATTTTAATGGCCATTGAAAATTCTGTATGTCAGATTTGATATTCCGAACAGCTGTTTGGCAAGATTTTTTCAGTACCTTAGTAATCCACTTTGCTAGAGTACTTTTGTGCGCTTTTACGTGAATGCATCCATTTCCCCCTGAAATAAACTTTTATAGTGATATCAAGCATCTTTTTCATTGTGTTCAAACTTTGAATTTCAGCGCCAAATGCTGGCTCTGTTCAACCTTGGACCCCCATTTACAACAACCAGAATCAAGATTCTTTGTCTTCTTTTAAGAACTGCCGGAATAACTTTCCTATCTTACTTCCCGTAACCTGAAACTTGTGTTTTCTCCACCAGGGTGCAAAATTGGTATAATGGTGGTCAAATTTGATTACCATGACATCATCACCGTAGTCATACTTAGCAAAGCTGTAGTCAAAAACAGCATTGCTAAAAATGACCACTCTTGACCAACCAAACCTCACCCCACTGAGTTCAAACACCCTTGTCAAAAGTCCTTACACTTGACTCCCAGCTGTTGTGTCTTTGCTATGCAATGTTAAACATATAAAACATCTTACTATTCATGAATGCGCCATGACTCATGTAATCTTTTCACAGCCAAGACGCTACTAAGGTACTGGGAATGTGGGGAGTGCAGCAGCATCAGTGCAGCACCGATGGTCGGATGCGACGGCTGCGATAAATGGTACCACTTCCGTTGTGCGGGGCTGACTAAGGAGCCAGGTAAGCGCAAATGTTTTCTGTCTCAGTATTTTTGTTGCAGCTATAGTGATCAATGAAATATTTTCCGCACTGTTCAGCCAAACATGTATTTCAAACAATCAGAATCTGCTTCCCAACCAAGGGCGTCACCACAGGGGGGGGGGGGGGGGGACAGAGGGGATCTCGTCCCCTCCACTTTTTAAAATTTTAACATTACGCCCATGGCGTTGCATGGAAAGAATCGACTTGAAATGGTCCTTGTCCCCTCCAAAATGGTCAATGTCCCCTCCAGTTGTCGCACCGTGGCGTCGCCCCTGTTCCCAACTACACAAATTTAGTCAAACAATGTGCCAATATGGAATTTTCAGGTTGAGTTGAATGAAATAGGAACAATGATAATTGTAGATTACGTATACCTGCAAGAGAGGAAAACAGAATACATTGTATTGCTTGTCCTTCACCGATACTGTTATTTTTCCATTTCTAGAAACACCGACATGGCGATGCAGGTGGTGCTGCCTGGTGAGGCCGCGGTCTCCGGAATCGCCTGCAGACGAAGTCACCTGACGTCCATCTGCACATCACTTGCAGCAGTGAGGCCTGCTGACAGCGTCTGGCAGTGTCGGCAACGTGCCAGACAGCTATCTGGAGTCCTGCTCACCGCAGGTCGCCGACAGGAGGGGCGACGCATCGTCTCCGAGGTCGCCTCAGCAGCAGTGAGACCCCACTGGCCGTCTTCTTAGGCTTCAACTAGATTGCGAACAACCTATGCTGAGACAACGCCCATGACGTGTGATCCGGTACCGCTACCGCACTGCGTGCCTGTGCCCGCCGTGAGCCGCTAGTGCATGGGTTCCGACGACCATGAGAATATGTGTTTATGTTGCTTTTACTATTGTTTATACGTTGAAGTGACGAATTGTTTATTTTTCGCAAGCCTCCGCTGTCCGGTTGCCTGCAGCTCCATGCAACGCTAGCTGTACTGTTGTTTTAATGTTGTCTCTCCGCTCAGCTCTACTGTTGCCTCTCCGCTCATAACAACCTATGCTGAGACAACGCCCATGACGTGTGATCCGGTACCGCTACCGCACTGCGTGCCTGTGCCCGCCGTGAGCCGCTAGTGCATGGGTTCGACCATGAGAATATGTGTTTATGCTGCTTTTGATACTGTTGTTTATACGTTGAAGTGACGAATTGTTTATTTTTCGCAAGCCTCCGCTGTCCGGTTGCCTGCAGCTCCATGCAACGCTAGCTGTACTGTTGTTTTAATGTTGTCTCTCCGCTCAGCTCTGCTGTTGCCTCTCCGCTCATAACAACCTATGCTGAGACAACGCCCATGACGTGTGATCCGGTACCGCTACCGCACTGCGTGCCTGTGCCCGCCGTGAGCCGCTAGTGCATGGGTTCGACCATGAGAATATGTGTTTATGCTGCTTTTGATACTATTGTTTATACGTTGAAGTGACGAATTGTTTATTTTTCGCAAGCCTCCGCTGCCCGGTTGCCTGCAGCTCCATGCAACGCCAGCTGTACTGTTGCTTTAATGTTGTCTCTCCGCTCAGCTGTACTGTTGCCTCTCCGCTCATATATGACACCCTCTATATGAATGGCACTACTGATTGTCACACCCACTGTCCGTATTGTCCGTAGTGGTGTCTGAGCAGTAATCGCCACGCACTTTCAGAATGTGGATCGCTCATGATTGTTCAATACAATACAATACAATACGCCCATGTTCATACAGCGTGCAGAATCCAGATTCTATTGAGGAGAGTTGAGCCAAGTCACCATAGGCTCGGGAAGAGAGCAACGTGGAGGCCCACTGCCCCTTCCCCGGCCCCCACTGGGGGCGCCAGCGCCCAGCCACTCAACTTTTGACTGGATGTCAAGAGCGTCGCCACGAGGGGAACGAGTCGCCGGCCAGCCAAGGTAGCCAACGGCGTGTGAAGGTTGCCTGACCTCGAGGAAACTGAGATGGCACCAACGGAGGTTTGTTAAGTAGGCGACCAAAATTCGAGCGGCAGCAATCTGGGCACCTTCACAGATAGCAGTGCCGCGTATCAGGGGCCAGGGCGCCTTCGACGTTTAGCTGGGCGCCGATCATCAGGACGCCGGGGGAATATGACCCAATATCCCCCGTAAATATGTGCCTCGGAAGGGAGACCCAACCATAAAACTGAAAGCTCGCCGTATTTTATCCACTATTTTTCGAGCAGGTCCAGTAGATTTCCGTCCTCAAAAGTGCGGGGATATTCCCCAGTGTTTGAGGTGGATGGGACTATAGTAGCGTTTACACCGACAGGAGATTCCCATTGCCGGCTGTGGGAAACTGCTGTCGGTGTAAACGCCATTCATATTTCCTGCGTCACCCCTGTGGGGACGCCCTTACTCCATGGTGCCGAGCTTATCAATTTGGATATCAATGGAATCAAAATCTCTTATCGATCGATGAAGAACTAAATTACCCCGACCCGGAGAGCGTCTTTGGAATCAAAGCAGTAGCACATGACGCAAGACTTCAGGCAAATAAATCGTTCTTGTCTGAAATAAAACATTTGTGTATTGATAAGCACGTTTTATAAGCAATGGTAGCAAGATTTTCCACGTATTTGGTGAAAGTGATAATTTAGTAGCAGATACTTACCGTCGCATTTCGTTTTTTTAATTAATAATTTATATTGTCAGAACTAGCAACATATCTCTTTACTCAACAAAAATTACAAAAGTGAAAAGGAAATGATAAATTGCCTATATTTTGGTAAAACTATAAATTAATTCAGCACACATTTTTTTTACAGCGTTGAAGTCCAGCTCCAAAGGACAGCTGACGATCGTAGCCGAGCAGGCTCTTTGGTACTTCTTCACTATTTCTTAGAAGTACCCGTTAGTACCGATCATGTCTCACATAATAAGCTATTGGAACAAAAATATGCATGTTCTTCTAATCATTCTCCTTTCACACTTTAAATAAATACTTTTGAAATGCATTTACTAATTAATTTCACAAAAACGGCTTGAAATTTTACAACGTCAAAATACTTATTCCAATTTCCACCGTGAAACCACCACTATGTTACTTGCTTACAGAACCGTGCGCACAGTGCGCGCAGTTTTATCGTGACGTCAGAGGGTGCTTCCTTAGTGGCGCCCCCTGGCGGGGAACGCGTGCAAAAAGTCCAGCTCTTAGGCATGTCCGTGTGTCCTCGAGGAGTTGGAACCAGGGGTTGGAACTGCCTGTTTCTTTTGACATTTCTAGAATATATTCTGCCGTTCTTTTGCAGAAATAAAAAAAATAGGAACAAGCATTGCAGTTTTACTGGTTCTCTAAAATCATCTAACTGTACGTCATGGATGTGTCTGGAATCCTCGCTCTCAGTCCAATCTTCATTACGGTTATCTCTGGAATTGCGATAATTATATATTTTTCTAAGAAGGCGTCACCGGCGTCACCTCTGGAACAGAGTAATGACCCGCAAGGTATGTCTTGAACTTAATATTTACCCATTTTGGACATTTTTAAGCATTGAAACACTGAGAAGTGAGCAGCTAGGTACTGACAGATTTGGATTCAGATTTAATTCTCAGTTGCAATGGATTAGCTGATGTGCCTATTATTGGGATTCAGTCGGGGAAACTATGGTAAAATCTGCTATTTTTAGCAGTCTGCTATTTTTAGCAGAAATCTGCTAAAAATGGGTACGCATGTGACGTCATCGTACCCAAATATAGCAGATTTGGGTACTGTTCCCGACAAAAGCAGATCTGCACCCTAATTGAAGCAAATGCGCATCAAATGCCTGGCAGATTCATTATTAGAATAGTGCTGAGAATGTCCTCTGATATTTTTGTTCAGATTCGACTATTTTCAAATAATGAATTTGAAAATAGTCGGATCTGAACAAAAAAAGCAGAGAACACTCTCACCACTATTCTCATCATGAATCTGCCAGGCATTTGATGCGCATTTGCTTCAATTAGGGTGCAGATCTGCTTTTGTATGGGGCCGTACCCAAATCTGCTATATTTGGGTACGATGACGTCACATGCGTACCCATTTTTAGCAGATTTCTGCTAAAAATAGCAGACTGCTAAAAATAGCAGATTTTACCATAGTTTCCCCGACTGGATTGGTTAGTATCAAATACCAATCCAGTTACAGTTTAAACTGCAATTTACAGTCACAACTTGTATTGTTACCTGACTGCTTGGAACAGCGTGAGAGTTCCGGTTTGGGTTAGCACGTGGTCCACTGGATATGGTGCTTGAACCAAACCAACTAACTTGTATTGTAAACAGACTGCAGAAATGGAGAAAACATGTTCAAGCAGCAAGACTGGTGCACCAGTTAATAGGTTGTTGACTTATGTGTCTTGTTTGCCAAATTTACTTGAAAGTTGCTTAAAAGGTACTTCATGAAAATTTAAGATGTTTTGTAGGCTGTTTATACTGCATCATTACTTTTAACTTACTGTTTCTATCACTGAAGGTCACAATGTTAATCACAGTTTTCCCTGCAGTTCCACTTGACAAGGGTGATGTGGACAAAGCGACATCCAATGTCAGCAAATCGAAGAAGAAGGCAGACAAGGTTCCTCCTCATCGGGACAACAAGTCAAAGTTCAGCCACCCCTGGCTGCTATCTTCCTTGAAGGGTCACAATGACAATGTTCTGGACATGAGCTTCAGTCCAAATGGCAAATATTTGGCATCATGTTCCATGGGTGAGTGTCCTCTGTCACAATGTACTAGTAAAAATGCATGCATTGGCAGCCACTTTTATTAGTATTGTTACTGACTTTTCTTCCTGAGTTAGTGTAAGAAGGTGTTATGGTGGGAGTGAGCCACCTGAGCTCTTCTGAATACCATGTATTGATGCCATTATAGTTGACAGCATATTTACTGAAGTCCCTGATCATTTGCACTTCAGGGTCAAAGTGCACAAAATCTGGACACCAAGAATGCTAAGAATCGTAGGAACCCAAATGCTGACTGTCCTGCCCACCTCTTCTCATTCACCCCCTCCCCCCCCCCCCCCACTCTGAGGACAGATCGGAGCGTACTGCTGTGGCAGACGCGCCATTTCTCCGAGCGGGAGCACAAGTCGACGCGCGTGAACGTCGAGTTCGACCACGCCACCGGCGTGAGCTGGAGTCCCGACAACCACGCGCTGCTGTGCGCCAAACACAACGAGAACCGGCTGCAGGTCTACAAACTGAGCAAAAAGTCGGACGGCACGCTCGGCAACCCGCAGGTGGCCGTCACGTTCGATAAGGTGAGCGCAGGGATGGGGATGTCGGCCGGCCGGGCCGCGACTCACCCCCGTCCGGGCCGCGAGCTCCACAAACCGCTGGTGAAGGAGGGGGCCGACCGGCCACGCGCCGTCCCCTACCGCTGGTGCTAGGTGGCGCCACTGAGCCGCCGGCCAGAGGGCGCCCGCAGCGGCAGCCTGGCAGCACCGGCTAGCAGCGGGTTACAGCTGGTACGGGTACATGGCTGGCTAGTGGCTAAGGCTTAAATTCCTTTCGCAGTTGTGCGGCTGCAATCTGCTGTTGAGTGTATGAATTGGAACAATGCTTGTGGACTTCGAAAGGTTAGTGAAAATCAGGAACGGCGAAGCCGATCAGGTTAGGATAATATGGGAGGGGAGGGGGTAAAGTCAGCTAAGCATTGAAGATCCTATCAAGATTAGTGAAATCTCCTCATTTTTCTACCTTCTGCACTGACGCTGTCTTTACCAAAAGACATTTTCTTACTGTATTACCATTTATGACAACTAGCAGTACTGGTTCTTGCACTGTTTGCACCTATATGGACCTGTGTCATTCGCCATTCTCCACAATGACGCCATATGCCTCGGCCGCAGCTGGACGACGATCCGCTGGTGGGCAGCGGTATCTCCAGTAACGGCGGCTCGGCGGAGCAGCGTCACAGCGCCGGCCACTACGTCATGTGCTGCTCGGAGCGGGGACGACTGACCGTGTTTGACCTGAGGGGCGGCGTCCTGGCCTCCACTGACACCCGTCAGGCGCCCGTGCACGCCGCGCGCATATCACCCTGTGGACGGTTCATCATGTCGGCAGGTACTGGACGGAGTAGGGAGGGATGGAGGTAGGGCGGTGGAGTTAGATGGTAGGATGGTAAGGTTATGTAGTGTGTGATGGAAGTCTGAAAGAACCATTGAAAGGGTAGTAATTTCACTAATGAAAAAGAATATATTGTCTAGGAGTAGGACGTGGTGTCGGTAGCTGCGCGCATGCATAGAAAGGTCTCGCTCGATTAGTTGTGGTTGGATGTTTGTTCTTAATTTATTGTTCGCCAATAATGTGTCGAATGATTTCGCGATATTTGATGGAAAGTGAAGACCGATAAGCTCGTAGCTCTAATGGCATGGCGTGTTTACGCCCGGCCTCTCCTGGGCTCCACCTCTGGTCGCTACACCTACCTACCTTTGACCATCGTCCGTCTCTCAGGGTTCACGCCGGACGTCAAGGTGTGGGAGGTGGCCTTCACGCGCTCGGGCGACTTTGACAAGCTGAGCCGGGCGTTCGAGCTGAAGGGGCACACGTCCGGTGTGCTGGACCTCAGCGCCACCCCCGACAGCTTCCGCATGGTGACCGTGAGCCGAGACGGCACCTGGAAGCTCTTCAACACCAACGGTCAGTCGCACGGGCGGGAGAGAAGAGCTTTAATGTGTTTTGATACAATATGCGTGGGACTCGGTGGCAAGGATGTGGAACGTATCGGCTTGTGCTAGTAAACGTACCCGGATTCCGTAACCAAGACGATTGGGACGCTTCCTGACCTTTGAGTATGTATAACATATGGTATTTCCCATCCTTTTGCTGATAGTTGTGGTGTTATTCATCACGTTTTTTTTCGTATAGATTTTGTTTGTTGGTGTTGTGTAACGTCAGCGCATGATCTAACCGTGGTTTATATGCAAGGCTTCCAATATTTCCTTCCCGTGAAGTGGTGGGGTTAGGCGAGAGGAGAGGATCTAGCATCGTGTTTGGAAGAGCAACTCCCATACAGTATAGTACAGATCTGCCCGGACCGTCAACTTGTATTCCTTCATATCCAAACGAAGTTTCTAATCGGAAGCCACTCACAAGCTGGCTTCAATCGACACAGCTCCCAGATGCTGTTTCCAAACAATAAAGCATCGTACCAGCCAGGACCTCCCGACTGACGCAGCCCCCTCCCCCCCCCCCCCCACACACACACAGTCGAGTACCGGATCGGCCAGGATCCGCAGCTGATCCAGTCGGCTCCCTGCGGCGGCGGAGAGTCGGGCTCGGCCTCGCGCGTGGCCCTCTCCCCCGACGGCTGCACGGTGGCCGTCGGCGCCCGCTCGGACGTCCAACTCTTCTCGGCAGAGACCGGAGACATGATGGCCACGCTCGCGGCGCTACACAGCAGTGAGTGGGGCGGAGCATGGGATGGGAAGGGACAGCGTGTGACCCGGATTGTGGGCAGGGTGGGGAGTGGGGTTGTGCGTCAAGGGAAGGGTAGTATGTTGGACAAGTGGGTCAGCAGGGAGCCCTGCCTCTGCTCTAGTCGGCTGCGGGGACCCGAGACGCCAGATGAATTGGTGATTTGCCACGCTAATGTCAACCCTCTCACCCGTCGTCATTTGAGCGCCCATCACTGATTCTCCCTTCTCTTGTGAATACAGTTCGCAGCGTGCTGCTCTGACTTATGACGATATGTTATGTTTCCTTGATCCTTCCCATTTAATGCTCGCCTCCCCCCCCCCCCCCCCCCCAGGAACCTCAATCGTTTATGACTGGGCAGCTGTCTCACTGGTTGCTCTGTCTACTGACATTTTTGGCATGATTGACATTTGTGATCACTGAACTCGAGGTTCCGTCAAGTGTCGTTGTTTATACTTTTTATAACATGAATGCGCCGCTCGTTGTGTACCATCACTGACCGCGCCGTCCCCCGTCTCGACAGGTCCGATCACCTGTATGCTGTTCGATCCGACCAGTCGCTACCTGCTGACGACTGGCGACAAGCACATACGGATACTGCACAACGTTCCTGGCTGCAGGGTCAACATACAGGTGAGAACAGGGGGCGGCAAAGCACGGACGTAGTGCTGAAGGTACGCAGGGTGTCGCTATGTGAAGGGAGGCAGGACTGGCCAGTGAGATTGGCGAACAGCAGACATACCCCTTCTACGTCAGACCCCGGTGTCAGCCCCACACTGAGTTGTTAGGTAAAAATTCAGTCCCCCTGTCACAGCCGGTGGAAGATGTCACCCGCACCTTTCGTACCCCGCACACCCGGACATTCACTAGGTCACAGGTGCCGGGCCGGCAGTCCCCGGCTCATATGGGCGCCGTATTAGAACAGTCGGCTCCCAGTGCCCCCAGCACCGCGGGGCCGCCCCCCGCGGCTTCCAGATCCGGCACCGTTTGAACTCCTGGCCTGGCAGGTTACATGGTACTTTGATAAAGTAGACTTCGTTAGAGCAAACCTCGCAGAGAAGCAGCCTGGGATGAGTCGCTGGAGGCATTCCTGTTCCGACTACAGTTACCTGTTCAGAATCTATCAGTATGGGACGTGACACACGTCCCATGTGTCTCCTCAGTCCTCGGGGGCTTGTTTTGGGTCCGTGAGTCGGGATAAGCTACCAGTTTCTTTTTTTGTATGATTTCATCTGGTTTGTTCCGGCTGTATCCGGTTACCTTTCGCCTATTTTGGCGGGTGTTGGACCGGTGCTTATATGCTCTCACATTCGCTGGACCCTGATCTGACATAAATGCCTTTTTGAAGAAACGCTTACGTTGTGATCTTTTGTGTTATCATGGTCTAAAGCAGGGGTCGGCAAATGGTGGGGCATGCCCCCTTTGGGGGTAATGGAGCCCTTTCGGTGGGGGTAATGAGGGATTCTGAGAAAGCCTATCTTTTTAGAGTTTGTAGCTCCAGTGATGGAGCCATCGTGACTATTGCATCCCAGGGTTCAAAGATTAGCCCAGGCCAAACCCAGCCAGCAATCCCAATCCGTTCCCGATCGTGATTTTCGGACTCAGCCCGCACCACCCCGATCGGGACCGGAGTGGGACAGGATTGGGAAATGAGACACTTTGTACGGGCTGGAACGGTCCGGATATCCCAACCTACCCTGCACGGTCGGTTGGGAGATCCCGCACGTATCCGGACCGCCTTATGACGTTTTAACAAGCGCTTAACTCCGATCCCGATCGGGATTCCCCAAATCTCCCCGCACAGCCGGTTCGGAAATCCCGCACACATCCGAACCGCCTTATGGCATTTTAACAAGCGATGAACTCCGATCCCGATCGGGATGTCCCAACTCGGCCTGCACGGCCGGTTCGGGAATACCGCAGGTATCTGACATATTAACCGCAGTCTTATAACCGCAGATTGCTGTTATGCAGATGCGACCACTTTGCTTGCGCCACCGCAACTCCTTCGCCTCTTCATTATTCTCCAATTCAACCTTTATAATGCCTGCACGATAAAATGAATTACATTGGACACTGAAATATATTCACAAATTTACTGGTTGCACACAGGTCAAATTTTTACAAATTCACAGCCTGGCCAGCACATTCATGGCGTCGGCCAACATCTTAGCGCTGCTGCAAGGCGCTGGCACAGCGGACTCACTTCCAGTGCTCACAGTCATTATAGCAGGCCTGCGCCTTGTTCGTGTCAGCTCCTCTGCGGACAGTGTGTCCGTGTGCCGTCACGGGCTTCAGAGAGCCACCGCGAAACTATGTAGACGGCTGGCATCTGGTCGGGCGGTTCACCACTGTGCGAAGAGAGCATCTGAAAATGACCAAGAGGTAATTAATCAAAGTCTGGGACACACTAAAAATCACTAAGAAATAACCCACATCTGGCATTTCACGTGGTATGCCTGGTAATTCAGGTTTCAAACCTACAATGCAACCAACGACACTTGACAATGAGACCAAACATCTTCTGTCCATGATAACTGATCAAACATGCGACAGCACGAGTGTAATTCACATGCCGTACAACCACAACGAACATTAAAATTTATATTACCTATAGCTTTCCCGCTCCCTACATCACGGATGAAGTGTGCACTATACTCACCCTGTTCTCAAAGACGGACTGATTTCCCTGCAACGACAACAGTTGAATCGACCGCTTGCTAGAGCCAGTTCAAAAGCAATATCCTAAGGCAGCAGCTCAAAGGAGAGACCGACACTTGACCAACGCGGCAGCTAGACTGGCCGCTGCGCTCAGAGGACGCGTCTGCCTGCACGCGGCCCATCTGATTGCTTTTCCAGGCTTTGTGGGCCACCGGATATGGTGCCCGAAGCGCCTTCTCAGATCGGTTGGGATAACAACGTAAATCACAAGCCTGTCTAAACATGGGATTCGATTGGGCTATCCGTACCGCGTCCCAACCGATTAAGCATGCGGTCCGGAAATCCCGAGTCGCCCCTACCGCCGGCCATCGAGGTCCGGTATCGATTGGGACAACCCAAGCCTACCCAACCGGGTAGGGACAAGTCGGGACATCCGGAGCCTATCCCGACCGTCCCCAACCGCATCCCGGACGAATTGCTGGCTGGGAAGGCACAGCACACATTGATTAGATACCAATTTTCACGTACCTGCTCGCCTCACCATCTCACCCCTCCGTACAGTCGTACAAAAGCAGCTGCAACTTTTAACCGTCGCCCGTCTGTTGGCGTTTCAACAGCCGCTAACGTAAGGGGGAGGAGTCGATCGGACCCCCGCGGCCTTTCGGACTCTGAGATGGAGCTGTGCATAAAAAAGACGAGCGTGCTACCCGTGAAAATAGGAAGCCGCTGCTGCCCATTTTTAAGGTCCTTGGTCATTCCGTATCATTCAAGAGGGCAATGACAAGTGTCGAGAAAATCGGGACCCGCTATAACTTCTTGAAGTGAGATTTTATGGCTCAAGATGATCTCCAGAAAAAGCTCATAAGCCAACGGTCATTATGGGTCCAGAGGCCAGTTTTGCCAACAGAAAAATAACCCCCTGCCGGAATTTTTTGCCTAAAGATCGTTTCACACATGGAGCGTAAACAGTAAAGCCCTATCCGCTTACGAGCCCATCGCGTTTACGCTCCGTATGTGAAGCGGTCTTGATGCAAAAATTCCGGCAGGCGGTTATTTTTCTGTTGGTAAAACTGGTCTCAGGTCATGATATTTTCCGGGCTGGTAAAAAAAAAATGATGGGCTTGAGGGTACAATTTGGTCGTGATCCAATGCCTTTTACGTGAGCTTTTAACGAAAAACCACCCGCCGCCCCTATACGTACAAGGGTTAAATGGGATATAGCATAGGCGGCGGAACGGGGAGGGCACCGGGGCACCGTGCACCCTTTGATTTTTGCATTTTAACATTAGCCCTATGGGCGTTGCATGGAAAGAATGGGACCAAAAGTCGGCAGTGCCCCCCCCCCCCCCCTCCCCCTTAATTGAAGCTGTTCCGACGCTACTGGGATATAGGTATTAAATGTTTTGTGGAGGAAGTGTCATGTTTTAAATTTGATGCATTGGAAATGCACAAATACCCAAAGAGTTCCAGGACGGTATGGAATTTCAGTAAACTTAGTTGTGTCAGCAATGGGGTCTGTTAGGTGGGGGTAATGGCCCTGCCTGGCGCCCAAAAAGGGGGCACGACCCCGAATGACCTGCCGACCACTGGTCTAAAGTTATCCCGGACGCCATGCGAAATCGATACTGTAACGTTTGAATCGCTGTGCTTTGTAATGCAGACGTTCACCGGGTGGTTAAAGCATTCTGATATCTATATTTGATAGTTGATGTTTGCCTTGTTCGAAGTTTCGCCAAGCTCTGGTTGGAAAGACTGCCGGCACTTTCTGTGCCCTCATTGATTGCGCTATAATGGGAACGTCAGACAGGATTCAGCAGCCATGCCGAATATAGCCGCTTCTGCGCCGGCTAACCGCTGCCCGCCTCTGGTCCCTCAGGTGATGAAAGACAAACTTGCCAAGACCACCAACCACACCCTGAAGGAGCGGCTGACCGCTCAGGTGAAGGAACTACAGGCTTTTCTGAGCACACTGGGTGAGTGAGTCACTGACCACTGAGCCCAGGAGAGAAGCCAGTGGTCGTTGTTGGTCTCTGGAGTCATGGGAGAGAGGACGTGGGGACGCGGCGAGCGCGCTGAGGACAGGGAGAGATGAGGAAATAATTTGGCGAGGGAGGGTGCCGTGTTTTACCGCTGCTCAGTGGCGTGATAAGTTAGAGGCGAGATCTGGCGACGGATCAACCCGCCACCGGCAGTAGAGGCCGTCCGCGGGACGGTGCCACCGATAATCAATACAAAGGAGCGAGGTTTTGGGCATCGGGCGAGCCTGCTGGGCATTGGGGCATACTGGGGTTGACGCTGGGCTAATGGAACGCTGTGCTAACCATACTGATATTGTCAGTGACTGATCGCGCCTGGGTCGACCGCCGCGGTTGTGGAGTTAACGTTTGTTGTGTGTTGAACGATCATTTGCGAACGCGGACGGGGCCGATGGATAACAATCCAGCCTGTGGTTGCCTAGTGCCCACTGCGTGGGCTTGGCATTCCCCTGCACGCGCGAAAAGGCATTCCCGTGTAAGCTAGACACCACAACTATCCAACCGACCGGAGGTGTCGGTCGTGACGATCGTCGTGACACGTTTCGTGATGATCGACGTGACACGTTCCGTGACGGCTTCCTATCACGTTCCGTGACGCCGTACCCGACCCGGCACTGTCGGGGCTGCCAGATTTGTGATATGCCGTGTTGTGGTGCCACACTTATCATGTTCATCTCGCAGGGTTGCAGTTTCAAATACAAATGTTTTCTGTGGATGCGGTTGATATGGCGAAAGAGTAAGTTTTAGCACCAAATTTCTGGAGACTGGTGTCCGGCATTGCGACATGAGAAAACGTCTAGTGGGGAGCATGTCTTGGATTGTTCATGATAATGCAGCATGTGCAGGCAATGCTACTTCTGAATCACAGAAATATTTTGTTCTTCTTAGATGTGCCGGTATTTTTCGAGCTGGTTTTCCAATTTGGCCGAGCTCTCTCCACTAAAAACGTGTTACGCCCAGCTGGCAGCGGCTCGGCGCGTCAAACGCAGCTTTCTGGCGAGCTGCGGTCGCAGCGCTTTCATCTCGACAGCTTAGTCGTCGGCGGTGATAGCCCGGCGCGCTCGTGGCGGACCCATAAACCGTGGGGACGCCCCCCCCCCCCCCCCGTAAACCGGCGCCTCAGGAGACTGGCGGCGCTTACCGACGCAGAATCTGCTGAGCTGGACGGAGACGTGGCGACTGGTGGGGAGGGGAGGAGGCGTGGTGGGGTGGGAAGATTTAGGGCCTTGGGGAAGCGTGGGACGGAGCGAGTATCGTTTGTTCGTATGATTATGTTTGAATTAATGCAAGTTTATTTATGTTAAAAACTTTTCATTGCACGATTCCGAAATTAGCAAAGCATTTGCTAATGTGGAACAGGTAGAGCCCAAGAACAGGCTCATGCATATAATCTAAAGTCGTAACTCGTAAGATTCTGACTTCTGTCTACTGAACCGTGTGCATAACTTCGCCCTAACAGGCGTCATATAAATGGTTTGCTCTCAGTTTTGCTGTTACCTACCTACATTGTTCAAGTTCGGTGTGCGCCGCAGGAAAAAGCATAAAACTCTTCGTTCGTTATATGCATGTATGCGCATCGTTCGCCCCAAGTCGTCAGAACAGGGACTGGGCCCACACAAGAAGTGTGAATTCAAGTCCATCCAGTGACGCGTCAGTTCTGTCGGCTCAATGTAGGTCCTGGTTGATTGGCAAGTGCGGGTCCAGCTTACAGTTCGCCGCATTGTCGCAGAGTGAGCAATCGTACCGCAGTGGCTTGCTTTCACAACCGTCGAATGCTGCGTGCTCAAATGTCGTATCGAAAACTACAGCCATGCTAGGATTGGCCAGCCGTCGTATGTATCACACCCGCCCCGGAAGATCGATCCACTTTCAGCCGTCTCAGTTCCTTCATCCATTCTCTCACCGCCAGCACACCACGTCACCACCAGACAAAAACACTAGTCTCTTGTGATATTTATGTAATTATTTATCAAAACATAAAAACGTCTGACACAACAAAATAACTGTAAACTGTCCCCAGAACAGGTGTAATGGGTAGCGACGGCGGGCCGCGAGCGACTCGGCGAGCCAGCGCCCGCGACCGCCGCCGGCGCGCGCCGCTACAAAATTAGAAAACCGCAATTACAAAACGACGCGCAAACTAAGCTGACTGAAAATGCACACCAGACGGCGGGCGCCGGGGCGGGGACGGGGACGGGGGGCGGGCGGCCGCGGCCCGCCGGTCCGCCGACAACGGGCGCCGGGAACATAACAACGGACAACACGGTCGACGTCTATGGAAATACAAACGTTCGCTGGGCGGCGGCGGCAGCGGCGGCTGACCAGCTGGCCCGCCCGCCGTACACGCGCGCGCGCGCGCCAACGACACACACACCGCCGCGCACGACGAACGGCGCCCTAATTATGAAGCGTTATAAAATCACTTCCGATTTGCTAAAATCATACTATAAAACCATGCTGCTAGCAGTGTACTTGGACTAGGAAAATAAATGAATGACACCTTTAATTTTTGTACAAAACCCAACGGCTACGCCTCGGGTTGCACATCACGCAGAGGGACGGCGGGGCGCGGGAGCACGGCCGCTATCGAGTGGGCCGCGCGGCGCGCGCGAGCGAGCCTGCCACAGACACAGGAGGGGAGCTGGGTGGGCGGGCGCCGCCGGCCGGCACGCGGTGCGCCGACCGGCGCGCGTGGCACTAGTAGAAAAATAAACTACAAATTAATGCCCACGTATTGCTACCCTGAAAACAAGCGTCTCGGCAAGGGGTGGGCGGGGGCGAGCGGACAGCGCTACAGCGGTGGTCGGGCCGGCGGGCCGCGCTCTCTCGATAGGCGGCGTCATTATGATCTGCGCCCGCTGTCCGACTCGCTGTTCCGCGTCACTGCCGACGGTACTTCAGCCGGTCCGGGTTATGGAGCTTCTCAACTGTGACAGGGGGGCTCACGTCGCTCTGGGGGTGTCTGACCGCGCACACCGCAAACACACGCACACACGCCTACACCTAGCCAACAAGAGGCGGCCGGGCCGGTGGCGGCGTGCCCGGCCGGCCGGCGACTCAGTCCGAGCGGCCGGCCGGCCGGGGAACACCCCCATCGGCCCGGCCGCGCCACCCGACTGCCGTTTTGATTCCCGGCCGTGCCGTGCTCCCCGCGGCTTTTGACATGCTGACCCGCATCGGAGAAAGGTGGGCGGCGGCGGCGGCCCGACCGCGCGGCGCCGGCCACGGCGCGTGCCAATCACATCTAGCCAATCACACTGACGTGACGTCACGCCGTAACACGTCTACCGAACGCGCTCGCCCGCGCAGAGCCGTCAGCGGCCGTCTGCCTGTCACACGCACACAGATTACGCACCGAGTCTGGGAGAATTGCTACGGCTACACTTCACTGGTTAAATGATGATAACATGCGAAAATTATAAATGTCTGAACTAGAAAATTAATTGCATAAATTAGATTGAATCACAATAAGGGATAAATACAGTTATCACATGAACCTCCTACTATACAATTCTGACCGCGCGCGGCGGCAATACCCCATTCCCAGACCCTTGACTTCAAATATTGAGGATAAATATAGAAAACGGCGGCGGCGCGCGGCCGGGGGCGTGGTCTGGGCGGCGGGGCCGAGGACCACGCCGCTGGCGGCGGGGGCGGCGGCGGCGGCGGCGGCGGGGCGGGGGCGGCCGGTTGGCTCAGTAAAAACACGGTCACATTGATAAGCGGAGCAGGACGCCACTCCGGGCGGCCAGCGCGCGCGGCGCCATCGTCATATACAAAACAACGCCACCCCAAAAATAAGGAGGAGGAACTATGCGATTTCAATCCCACGTAGTGATGTATAAATATCGGCGATTTGTACATAATCTATTTACAATTGCGACGATACAAAAACGGTGAAAAGGTAAAAAATGGTATCCAAAGTGTCGGCCGGCCTGAAATAGCGCTGGCAGGACCTTACCTGGCTGCTACAACTACTATGTAATATGTCACAGATATATGTATAAAACGTCAATGGACATGGCGCCGCCGCCACCGCCGCCGCCGCCGGGAACCCGCCGCGCCGCCGTCCGCGCCTGCTCGACTATGGCACGGATCACGCATCCGAAAAACTGCACACAAGTCTATTCTAACGAGCAGAGGAGAAAGAGAGCGAGAGCCAACGGGCTGTGGACAGAGCGGCGGAGACGGGACAGAGGTGTGCAGAGGACAGGATGGAGAACAGGAGAGAGTGGGGAGGAAGGCGATATACGAGGAAAGAGAGAGAAGCGGCGACTGTCGGCCGGAGCCAGGTCGGACTCCCGGCCAGCCGCTGACTACCGGCGCCAGTCGAGCCGCTGGTAGCTAGATCTAGTAGCTACTAGCCGGTGCTGCCAGGCTGCCGCGGCGGGCGCCCTCTGGCCGGCGGCTCAGTGGCGCCACCTAGCACCAGCGGTAGGGGACGGCGCGCGGCCGGTCGGCCCCCTCCTTCACCAGCGGTTTGTGGAACTCGCGGCCCGGACGGGAGTGGATGGTAGCCCAGCAGTGCTCACAGTAGTACTGAAACAGACACACACAGGACAGGCACAGTCAGATCATGAGACGGGATAGGGAAGGATAGGACGAGCGGTATAGAGGGCGCCGGGCGGCACAGTAGCGCCCTATCCATGGCCCCATCACGCCACTCATGACTGAATGAGTGGAACAAAATCAATAGCTCTCGATGCTATTTTTATCTGCACAAAGCCTATCTAGCTTCTCCAAACAGGAAACATGAGCTCAACAATGTGCAAAGTTGAGGAAAACAAACCCACTACAATACTCCGATACCGTTATCAGCAAAAATATGCCTCAACAAACAATCGAGCATTCACGTTCAACGTTGCGGTAGCTCCATTGAGCTCATGACCCCCACGCAGGAAATTAGTGATGTTACTCTGCCCTCCCACTCTACATTAACATCTCTGGGCCTCTAAGCAGGGCAGAACTCTGTGGAGCCTACCCTCACTCCTCTCTCCCTCCCTCTGTCCGCTCTCTCACCTGGAGACAGGTGACGTTGGCGCAGAAGAAGGGCGCAAACTTGCCGGCGCAGCGCGTGCCCTGGCACTCGTCGCACATCTGATCATCGAGCACGTAGGGCTTCACCTCCACCTGGACAGAGGAGGGCTCTGGTCAGAGGCGCCACCATGCACGGGTAGGGAAGGACACGGTGCACCTCTACCTGAGCACGGGAGGGCTATGCCAGAGGCGCCGCCAGGCACGGGTAGGGAAGGACACCTCTACCTGAGCAATGAGCATAGGATGGGTTCGGTCAGAGGCGGAACAAGGCATGGGTCAGGATAGGGGAGGGCAGAGCTCCGATCGCAGCCGCAGTCAGGAACTGTACCTATGTACGGAGAGGGATGACAAAAGGCTCCACTGATAAACGAACAGCAGAAGACGTCTAAGAAGGACTAAGTCTGGATATTTCACTGATGATTGCTGGCGACTGATGACAGAAGCTGGCTATCATAAAGGGTTGCGCACCCAAAGCATCATGGGATTGGGCCGGAGACCGGGGGAAGACAAGACAGGAAACGACTACATGACCGCAGTAACAAACAGACCGTTTTGCGGCTTTACATGGATGTGGTTAAAGGAAGGGTGCCACCTTCCGAAATTTTTGTTCTATGAATCTATTTTACTTATTTGAATTTTTAGACGTGGTTAGCGCGTCCACAATATACAAAAAACCGA